GAAAAAAAATAATAATAATATATATATATATATATCTCTCTCTCTCTCAAAAATGATTTGTTTTTTTCATTTTAAATTTCATATTATTTTATTATTTTATTATTTTAAAATCTAAAATGACCAATTTTCCCTCATATTTAACAGAAAATTGGATGAAATGTTGAGATTTAGATGATAGGGAGTGAATTGGCAATAAAATTTAGTTCGTGTACTTAATTTTCCAACCAAAAAGTTGAGGGTGCAAATTGAAAGTAGTGTACAAGTTCAAGGGGTAAATTGACAATTAACCCTAATAATGAATGACTCTCAAAATTGTGCTTCATGGAATAATTAAAATCTTGACATGAATTTTCTTTAGCCATTTTGACATCAATAACAATTTATATAGTGTGCTTTACAGAATTTGTTGATGATTTATTATTGTTCTTTGTTTCTACCGGGATATCCCTCCTCTTTGCCAAAAAAGTAAATATAAAAAAAAATTATTTTCCAAATGCATTGCCTTCAGCAAGTCCAGAGTATAATTGGACATTTTCCAATGAAGTTTTCCTCAGATTTCATTAGTCTTAATCATCCTAGAGACAACAATCAGTACGTAATTATAAAATTGCTATCCTAATCACAAACCCCCACCACCATGAGCATTCTATTATAATGTCCCACTTCAACCCGCTCCACTAATCCGCTTTTCTCTTTTAATCATCAATTTCCATGCATGTTATTGATGTTTGAATTCAAATTTCCACCCCTTAAAACTCTTTTTCTTTAATCACCATTTCGGCAACAGATGCATCATTGCATTGGCATCATTCTTACACTTTTTATGTTAAAAAACAATCCTCAAGATTCTTTTTCAATGCGCATGATTTCAATATTGGCATAAACTAGCTAGTAGAAGCAAGCCAAGCCAGTATTAGGGTATTCAAATTCGGGTATCCTTAAGCTATGCTTACTCAGTGTATCCTTAAGCTTAATTTGTATATTCTCCCTTTTTTACAAGCGATAGTCTAAACTACAGGGGATGAGGTTTCTCACACTGATGCACACAACTAAGATGTTATAGGGATTTCGACAAAAAAAGAAGAAGAAAAAAAGATACCATGAGAATTTGAATATGAGACCTCTAGTATGCAAATCAAAGCCCATTTTCACTGGGTTAGACCCTGTTGGCTTGTAAATACTTTAACTTTATAAGATGTCTCGTGATCATATAATTTGAACTTCTCACAAATTTTATGAAACTTAAACTTGGCTTATATTTTTAAAAAGCTTAACGAGTTTGGCTTATTTCTTTAGAATAAAGCTCGAACAAATTGAATATGTTACAAACTTGATTTGCATTAGAGACAAGTAACTCTATTTTTTCTATATTATATAACATAGTTAAAATTATCGTTGTGTAATGAAACACTATCTCATTCACTTTTTATTTTTGATTTCTTCTTTTGATGTTGTATAAATCTTTCTAGAGTTACTGATAATTTTCCTTGCCTTTATTATATAGCGAATTGAACCTTTGAGTCATGAGTTTGTTAACTTTGAGTTAGGGATAAAATGATCAGTTTAGTTACTAAGCCATAAGATATGTCCACGAGTTTAACACAAAACATGGTAATGTGGTTATAAATTAAGTAAGTTGGGTTATCATATAAGTATAACCCAAAACGACATCACTCCGGAAGGCTTTTTATAGAATTTCAATGTACATGTGGGGTCAATTTAAAAATACAAAGAGTGCAGGAGCGTCCCCGCTAACAATTCAAGTTTAAAAAACGGGCGGGCCTGTTATCACTGAGCTTTACCATTCAAACTTTCCAACAGTCTGACACTTTCCACTCAAATCTCAACGCACACCTCTCATTCCCCACAGCCAAAGAAAACCACAATTTCACCTAAAACGTCATCGTTTTCTTCTTCTTCTTCCTCTCATGGATTCAAAACTCTGTTTCTAATTCGGGAACAAAAGCAACAGTCTATTTGTTTTACTCAAACTCCGAGCTCACCATGTCGAAAGAGAGCTCAACTGTTCGATTCCCGGCTCGAAACGTTTCGAAGAACTCACAATCTGAACCGAACGAGAACGAGTTCGAAGCCTCGTCGAACCAAATCCATTTTCCTCCTCCTAGAACACCTCTAAACAGCATAGCAGATCCAGCTCAGCTGCAAAAGGAGCTTCACGAACTCGATTTCGATTCACAACCGAAGTTTGAAGCAATTCGATCTGGTCGGTATTCTTTATCGGATAGAAAACTTGAAGCCCCGGACAGAGCTGGAAATGGCGGTCTCAGCAATGGAACTCCTAGGGTTTCAGGTCGCGGAGGGAAGGCGCACTCGGAGCCAAACTCAGCGCAAAGCACTCCGGCGAGGAACGGCTCGAGAGCTTCGATTGGTGGAGCAATTTGTACAGGAAGCAAAGCTCCGCAGTACAATGGAGGCAGAGCAGGGAGTTGTTCTAGAATCTCCCGGGAGATTTCGGTGGTGAATTCCGAGGTTTTAACTCAGGTTCCGCATTTCGAGCTTGCCGAAGATTCATCGTTCTGGACTGATCACAATGTGCAGGTTCGGGGACTAATTCTGCTTTGGTAAATGTTGAATATAATTGATTTTTGTGGATTTGATTGGTTTGATTGGTTTTGAGTTCAGGTGCTGATTCGAATTCGGCCATTGAGTAATATAGAGAGGGCTTCGCAAGGGCACGGTGGGTGTTTGAAGCAGGAAAGCGCCAAGACTTTGGTGTGGCATGGTCATCCTGAAACCAGATTCACATTTGATCATATTGCATGCGAGACGATATCACAGGTTTGGTTTTAACATATGGTTATGAAAAAAAGGACATGATTTTCGCTTCCCGGTTTTCACTACAACCTATAAAGTACTATCAGATTATGTACAAAAATGGAGAGAGAGACCTAATTTTCACTTTATTGGGTTGTATGAAACCATATTAAGTTCAATTTAGTGGAAGTTCATTTGGTGTCTTGCTTGAATTTGCTGCAGGAAAAGCTGTTTAAAGTTGCTGGGTTGCCCATGGTGGAGAATTGCTTGTCTGGTTATAATAGCTGCATGTTTGCTTACGGTCAGGTACTTTTTCCGAGAAGTTAAATAGTTTGGTGTGTGGTGTGGTTTTCATGTTATTTGGCTGCCAAGTTACAGTCTAAGTTGTTTATCTGCAGACGGGCAGTGGCAAAACATACACAATGATGGGTGAAATATATGAGGTTGAAGGGCAGCTCAATGAAGATTGTGGGATTACTCCACGCATTTTTGAATATTTGTTTAACAGGATCAGAGTGGTGCGCTGTTCACATTATTGATATCTTTCACGACTACGCCTCTGAATTGAATCAATATAGCCTTCTAGGCTGTTCTTTTCTTTTAATAGGATGTCTTACTATAATTCATATGTGCAGGAAGAGGAGAGCAGGATGGAGGAAGAGTTGAAGTACAGCTGCAAATGTTCCTTTCTTGAGATTTACAATGAGCAGATAACGGATCTCTTGGAGCCTTCATCAACTAATCTACAAGTAATTGATACCTTTCTAAATGTTCATGCTGGATGCTCCACTTAAACATTGTTCTTTTGAGCATTAAGTAAATCTTACTTCCCTATTATAGCTCAGGGAGGACCTGAAGAAAGGGGTATATGTTGAAAACCTTACAGAATATAATGTGAGGGATGTGAATGATGTTGTCAAGCTTCTGTTACAGGTGGTACTTTATGATAAAAGTTATCTTACCTACAATTAATTACATATTAGGGTTTGAATATGATTTCGGTATATTTATTTTCTTAGGGTGCTTCAAACAGAAAAATGGCGGCAACACACATGAACAGTGAGAGCAGCCGGTCCCACAGTGTTTTCACTTGTATCATTGAAAGCCGTTGGGAAAAAGATTCCATGACCCATTTTAGGTTTGCAAGGTTGAACTTAGTAGATTTAGCTGGTTCGGAAAGGTAACTACCATCTTTATATTCCACCTTTTTTTTGGTTTTAATTTTTTGTTCAAGGCCTATGCGCTAACTTGCTTATTAATTCAGGCAGAAAAGCTCTGGTGCAGAGGGAGATCGTTTGAAAGAAGCAGCAAATATTAACAAATCATTATCAACTCTTGGGTAATTATTTCGAAACCTGTTTCAAATGCCAATTTGTTGATTAGTGTTGTTTCTAGAAATACATATAAGAATTGGTCCATTTGAACATGGTTGAATTAAACTTATATGCCTTTAGTGCCAGTCAGATTTGAGTTTGGTTTTTCAGTTGGTTGACATGTAACACTCTGTGGTTTTAGGTTGGTGATAATGTCTTTAGTTGATTTAGCACACGGGAAACATAGACATGTTCCTTATCGAGATTCAAGACTTACGTTTCTGCTTCAGGTTAGACACCAAAAGCTCTGGAGCCCAAGAGATTTCATGAAATTTCATAATAATGTGCATACTTGCGCTTTTAGTGCATGTTAATACAGAACTTAATTGGCCTACAACTTTGAGATGCAGGATTCTCTGGGTGGGAACTCAAAAACAACTATAATTGCCAATGTCAGCCCATCTATTTGGTTTGTGTTGATTCTTTCCTAGTTCTAGATTACTTTGCTTTTTTTTTTTTTTTTTTTTTTTTTTTTTTTTTTATTTCCTTAAACTGACCTTTGCACTATAATTGCCAATGTCAGCCCATCTATTTGGTTTGTGTTGATTCTTTCCTAGTTCTAGATTACTTTGCTTTTTTTTTTTTTTTTTTTTTTTTTTTTTATTTTTGTCCTTAAACTGACCTTTGCTTTCCTTGTAGTTCTGCAAATGAGACACTCAGCACTTTGAAGTTTGCCCAGCGTGCCAAACTTATCCAGAACAATGTACTTACCTGGTACACTGACGCACACACACACGTGCTCACATTCTCTTCTTAGTTGTTTACTTAATTTTCCATCTTTATCCAGGCTAAAGTGAATGAAGATGCTTCAGGTGACATAACTGCACTTCAGCAACAAATCCAACAGCTAAAGGCATGGGTTATATTTGCACGCTTGTGAAAGTTTTACCTTTGACATTTCCTAGATGGTAGAACTAAAGCATTTTTCGAACCCAAACAGGGCCAGTTGTCCTTCCTAATGAAGCACCATAATATCTCATGGTCTTCATCAAGCGGTGTGCCAAGTATTGAAGAACCTAGATTCAATGAGTTGCCTGAGGAATACAATGACTCTCTAGAAGATAAAATGCCAACTGAGAATCTTAAATTACCAAGTGTCAGAAACAAGAAGGTATTTTGATTTTGTACAAAAAAAATCGTTTCCTACACCTTATAAATTGCATGATGCAATTATGGTAACGAGTTATAATGCAAACTTAACAGATGAATTGCATGGATACCATCTTAGTTGGTGCTTTAAGGAGGGAAAAGATGGCAGACAATGCAGTCCAGAAGTTGGTGGCTGAAATTGAAGACATGAACCGCTTGGTGCGTATTGTTGGAACAAGTAGTTATTTAGTTTCCCCTATCTATAAAGTTCTTGATTATTTTATAATTCTTAATTGCATAAATAGCACCGTGTTAAGCGGTTTATTTTTGTTGTGGCATTTCTGTAGGTTTGCCAAAGTGAGGAGGATGCTGGACAAACTAAAATGATGCTAAGGTTTCGTGAGGAAAAAATTAAACGACTTGAATTGTTGACGGATGGAATGCTGTCGGCTGAGAAGTATCTCATGGAGGAGAACAAGGCTTTACTTGAAGAGATTCAGCTGCTGCAAGCAAGATTTGAAAGCAATCCAGAATTGACCAGATATGCTGTGGAGAACTGTAGACTTCTCGAGCAACTTAAATTGTAAACTCCACATGGGTCAATGTTGTAGATGATTGCTCTTTTTCACCTTTCTGGATGCCATTGCCTCATTTTGTATTCTTCATGCCAGGTACCAAAAATTTTATGAACATGGAGAGAGAGAAACATTGCTAGCTGAAGTATCAGAACTACGCAATCAGGTCCATAAAAATCTCCTCCTCCTTCCTAAACTGTCTCATGCACTCTAAGGTGGCTATCTAAAGCATGTTTCATGTGCAGCTTCTGGATATACTTCAAGGAAAACTTCCATTCTCAACAGAAAATGAAAATCAGGTCGGAAAGCACTTTTTGGTTAGTTATGTTACGTGTTACATAAATTTTTTCCTATAAAAATGTTGCATATCCCCTTTTAGGGACCTCCAAATCTTTAATGTGCATATTTTCAAGAGTGCAGAATAGTGATACCATAAAGGAATTGGAAGATTGCAGGAACATGAATTCTAAATTGATCAGGTATTTTTTCTTTAACAATATACACTTACACATGTTTTATTAGTTACTGCAACAAACTGCCCTCAAATTTGTATTAGTTCTACTGCGGCTAGCATATGACAGTGCATTTATTAGCTGCTTTATTTTCTTTTAAGTTTACTAGTTTATGTACACTCCTTGAATTTGCACTTTAGTCCCGCTCTTTTTCCCTGGATACCAAACAACCTAGGGCTCAGAGGATTATCTCACCCGTTATTCCTCCACATGGTAAAATACTGATGCTGTCAGTAAATGATAGCCATATATGTGGACATTCTATCCATAATTTACTGTATTGCATTGCCATTGCTGTAGTGAGCTGTCGCGAAGGCCATTGTGTTTGACTAATTACTTTTTGATGCTATTAGTACAATTTAAACCTGATCATCATATTGACTCTGAGAAGGCAAATTTCTTGCATTGTTTGGATTTGAGTTGACAACTCCCATGTTGCTTATTTATGATTTTATGTCTGCAGGGAAGTAGATGAACTACAACTAGAATTGCGAAAGTATATGAACTCCAGTCAAGCTGCCTCCGGTTCTGTAAGTATAACTAATAAACTACCTAGCACTGCTTAAACAATTTTGTAAGCTTTTTGTTTTGAAAGTTTGTAAGCTTTGTCTGTAGTTTATTAACAATCTTTATATAAGTGCAGGTAAGAGATTCTTTCTCCAAGGATACTGAGGAATTCAGGCAATCAGATAAGTATTCGATGGTAAGTCAATATATCACGCTGGTTCCTGCCTAATGTCCAATTAATTTACAGAGGTGAACATCATTTAAAAACTGGAATTCTTTTCAATTGTACATGATTTTTGTTCCTCGTTGCTATATCCCAGTTCATTTTCTGTGCATTTAAAGTAAAGCTGATTCATGTTTTTGACGTATGCCATGAAATCATGTTGTGTTGCACTGTCCAAGCTAATTCATGGAAAAGTTACCACTTCCATTCTTGCATACTTCATTTTACTAAAAAGAAAACAGAAAAGATCCATGGAAAAGGGGAAAAAATTGTACCAGACAGAAACCAACTAGTTTTAAATAGATTCAAGCTTTACATAGACGTCATCTACTTTCTTTTCCTTCTTTTTTGAATCAAATCTACAATTGGCCATCACTTTGCAGGTTGAAACCCTATCTATGGGGAGTGACTCTGGAGATGAAACGGCATCTTACTCCCAGGTAGATGATGGGGTTGTGATTCATGTTGACCAAAATGCTGGTGATGATACTCAATAAACAGTAAATGGATGCTAGATTGTTGCAAGTTCATTTAATAACTATTTTACATCATGTGCAGGAGGAATGCTGCAGAGACATGTACATATCAAGCAACAAGGACAAAATAGAAATCCAATTGGAGGTGAAACATGAACGTCGTTTTCTGAAATCAGGTGATTTACATAAGGAAAACAAGTGTATTATGGAGATTAGTGAAGACATTGAGAGGAAGGCTTTGCAAGCTAAATTGGACAAAATGGTTAAGGACCTGGAGGAGGTCAGATTACTCAATAGCCACTTTCAAGAGGATCAGCTATTACAGTTGTCTCACCAGAAACAGACTGAAATAGTCTGTGAACAGGTTGAGATGGAGACAGCAAACACAATTCTTCATTTACAGGAAGAGGTTGCTGCCCTTCAGTTTGAACTTGATGAGAGATTACACTGCATGATTCAGGAAAATAAGATACTGAAAAACACCATTGCAGCTAAAGAGAATGAGATAAGGTCACTGAGTGTGGAGTGGGAAAAGGCAACCTTTGAACTAACAAGATTCCTCCTAGATGGTTCTAGATCCCTCAAAAATGCCTCCAGCCAAATAGAAAGTATTGCTTGTTCGTTTCCTCAAGCTAATGTTTGTATTAGTGAAGATGTCCAGAGGGCTGCCAGAGTTTGCATGGAAAAGGAAGAAACAATTGAACTACTACAGAAGAGTTTGGAAGATACGCAAACGATGGTAACAGAAATGGGACAGAAGTTAAGTTCCTTGAAGGGAGCAGCAATTGCTTTAAGTGAACTCCAACATCTGGATAATGATGAAACCAAAGAGGAAATTTCCTTATGCATGCGGTTGGATGAGCAGACCAACATGGTAGAGATGCTAGAGAGGAAACTTATATTCAAGGAAATTCAGGTCAAAGAAGCAGAAAATTGTGCCAATGCTGCATTCCTTGTAATAAAATGGCTTACGGATCAGAAGGCGACGGATAAAACCGAGAGAAACATTCCCATCTCAATACTAGGTACACCAGCCGGACTGGTCAGCCAGAAAAGTTCTGACACAAAAGTAAATGCTTTAGGATTAGAAGATGTCATTACTGAACTTGAGTCGGCTAGGTTAGGAATATTGGAGTCTGAGAATGCTATCGAAGCATTTTATGCAGATACAGAAATGCATATAGTGGCCCTTGGGACCAACATTAGTGAAGTTTCTGATGAATACAAGGAGTTGGTTCAAAACTTGGTAAGTGAACTTCGTGAAATGAAGAAGAAATATATGGAGTTAAGAGAGCATTCCAAAGTTTCTCAGTTTTGTACAGTTGAGTCGCTATCATTAGAAGCACACAAGTATCTGAAGTCTAAAGATATTTATCACATGATTCTTGAAATAAAAAATGAGCTCACTGTAGCAAATGGTAGATTGAAAATTACTGAAGATTTCATTTACACAAAAGTAAATGCGTATGATTGCCCTTCAGCAGACAACAGTTTAGAAGATGAAGATGAATGGAGTACTGATAGTACTACATCAAGCTGTGATTCGTCAACCGAAAGTTTTGCTTCTGGAAACAAATTGTGGGCATTAGAAGGGCAAACGGGGGACCTGAAAGTTAAAGAAGGCTCAGTACTTCAGTCTGCTGATCAAGATCCAGAAGAGTCAAAGTGGGTCTTAAAAACTTTCACGGACTCTAAAGGAGCAACATTCTGCCTGAAAAAGGAATTAGAGATGGCACTTGATGCTTTCAACAAACTATATGTTAGGCTAGCCACACTCATTAGCGAGTTGGACATTGGAGGTCGTTCTCAACCAGCAGGTATATTCTTTACTGAGTAACTACACTTTTAACGATTAGAAACATAAATTGATCAAGGGACTTAATCAGATCATATTATATGCAGAGCTGAAACAACTTGTTCCATTGTTCGAGTCGGGGACAGAGAGTTCTTATGGTTGTCATGCTACTACAGAAAAGGTACAACAAATTTTTTCTCAAATCATCCAATTCTTGCATTGTAAATTTGTGAGGCAACTATATATTAGAAAGGATTAATAGTAGAACTGTCCTAATCAATCTTTTCTAAATAAGAGACTAAGTCAGCAAAATTGGCAGGTAGTTTCTGATGAGAAGAGTGATTTTGCTAGTAGCTTCTTAACCAAATTTGAAGAAGCGCATGCAACAATAAAAGAGGCTGATGTTATGTTAAATGCCTTGATGGAAGCAAATGAAAATGCAAAAGAATTGACTGGCCTGTGGAAGCAAACTGGTGAGGAACTGATGTTAGAGAAAGCAAGCTTTATTGAAGAAGTTGAACATCTCAAAACTTCAGTACATTTGAAAGAAAGAGAGAATGAACTACTGCAGGATCAATCCCGTTATAATTTGGTGGAGATAGCAAAATCATTGTCTTTGCTTGAAGAGTGTTTTATGCAATTAAAATGTGAAGTGGAGGACAGGTTCAAAGTATTATATGCTGATACTTTTTCTATGGGAAGGGAGATACACTGCTTCATTAGCAAATCAAGATCATTACTAGAAGAAATATGCGCTGAGACATTGGAGAAAAAATTTGCCATGTTTGTCCTTCATCAGTGTCTCACAGGAGAGATGATCCACAAAATACCATGCTTTAATGTAGGAAATGGTTTCCGCTCCAGCAGACAGCAAGAAGGCCTTTCAATTACAAATAAACAACAAAAAATGTGGTCAAGTTGTGAGGATGACATTGTGCTTACTAGTAACATCTCCAAAGATGATAATGATCAAAGTGGAGTCACAAATTTGAAAGCTGGTGAGCTCAGTTTGTACCGTGATAGTTTGATGCACGAGAATTTATCACTGAAGGAAGAACTGCAACGGAAAGATGCTCTACTGGAGGGCTTGCATTTTGATTTTAGAATGTTGCAGGAATCAGCATCCAACACAACGGATATAAAGGATGAAACTGAAAAGCTGATAAAATCTTTGAGCCAAATTCAGAATGAGCTAGAAATGAAAATATGCCAGCTTGATCACATGCTGTTTCAACATAAAAAGCTTGAGGATCATCTTACTGATACTGAAAAGGCTCTGCTTTTATCAAATTCTAATCTTGAGCAGGCCAAAGATACAATCAATACTCTCTCAGAGCAAAATTTTGAGTTGAAAGTGCTTCTAAATGATCTCTATCAAAAAAATTCTGAAGCCAATGAACAACTGGAAGAGCAGAAGGAAGTGGTGAAAGGTTTGGAAAAAGAAATTCTTCATTTGACTTCTTCAATGGAAACAAAATTACTCTGTCAAGTTGAAGGTATCGAGGATGAGTTGAGAAGGGTCATCAGCGAGAGAGACGGACTTCTTGAAGAAGTTGCGTCCCTGAACGATAAACTTGAGATGGCATATGCAATATCCGATGAACATGAGGCTATCTCTATTGAAGCTCGCCAGGTATGTTCAGGTTTTTTTCTTGTTCATTTGATAGCATAGTTATGATTGCAGGTGGATTCTCTTATATTGTACTAATATTTCTAGGAATCTGAGGCAAGTAAGATGTATGCCGAACAAAAGGAAGAGGAGGTTAAAATATTAGAACGCTCTGTGGAGGAGCTTGAATGTACCATCAATGTACTGGAAAAGAAGGTTAGCTCCCTGGGCGTTTTTGTCTCTGTATTTAACACATGAACATCAATGGAGTGCCAGTATCAATACTCGCTGTTTTTTCTTACATGCAAACATTTAGCCAAGTATCTCTTTTATTGGTGAGCGAGGGATTAGAGCGGTTATTGATGTCTTTTGGCTATTGGTTTCAATTCCCAAAATCGTTCCTTCTCTTAGGTATATGAGATGAATGACGAGGTAGAAAGGCATCGGTTGATCAGAGATGCACTAGAGCTGGAGCTACAAGCTTTAAGACACAGACTGTTAACAGTAGAAAATTTCAGTGAAAATGTGGACTCAGAAAACATGAATTCTGAACAAGCTGAAAATCTGATTTCTAGGTATTGCTTGCTTTCTCATATAAATTTTATTTTTCTGCTTTTAATTTACCTTAAATTTAAAGAAATAATTTTGATACAGGCAACTGCAGAGTAGGCTACTGGAACTTCATGAGGCTCATAATAAGATAAAGCTTCTTGAAGAGGAAAGAGCAGAACAGGATAAAGAGGTGAGATCCTGTCTTGCTGGTGGTTTTTATTTTTATTTTTAACCCTAGTTGTCTTTTTCGACAATGTACCTTAAATTATCTTGTATTTATGTCTTCTAAAAACTAAAGTTCGACAATTTGTGCATAAATCTTGAAGATCAAACAATGCAAAGAATACATCTCTGAGATCGTGTTGCATGCTGAAGCCCAGACGTCACAGTACCACCAGAAGGTACATATACTAGAATTACTATCACCATTGGATAGATCCTTAAACATTTCTTATGCCATTATTAATACTGAAATAGCTGAACTTTTGTTGGTGAAAAAAGGGAAAGAAGGGTTCGGGATAATTTTGTTAATCGTGAATGGATATATGAATAATTGTAAATGATCCAAATCTTGACATTGCACAACCTTTTGAACAGTACAAGACTCTTGAGGCCATGGTTTGTGAAGTAAAAGCAGATAAGACAGATTCAGCATCAACAGCTGCGGCATTAGAAAAATCTGAGAGGAGCTCAATCAGGACAAGGGGCTCCAGCTCACCATTCAGATGCATTTCAAGTTTGGTTCAGCAGATGAATACGGAGAAGGATCAGGAATTGTCTATAGCCAGGCATCGCATTGAGGAACTAGAGGCACTTGCAGCCAGTCGGCAGAAGGAGGTTAAGTGCCCTTTTTGCTTAGTTTCCCTTTCTCGAATGCTTTTGTAGAAACAATTGTTAAATATTAGAAGAGTATTTGATTTTATTGAAACTTGCTCTCAGGTATGTTTGCTGAACACTAGGCTAGCTGCAGCAGAAAGCATGACACATGATGTCATTCGGGATTTACTTGGTGTCAAATTGGACATGACCAACTATGCAGTAAGTTTCAGACCGTCACTTTCAAGCATGACAATTGCATAGCCGCAATTCTCATTTGTTTCACTTCTTTTGGTGTCATCTAGAACTTGATAGAGCAGTACCAGGTTCAAAAGTTAGTAGAAGAGGCTCATCAGCAAACAGAAGAATTCCAAGAAAAGGTTCGTACCGCTGATTTTCTTTTTATTTGAATATTTGTCTTCCCTTTTTTCTGTTTTCTGTGGACCTAACTTACTGATCTTGGCATCATTTTAGGAGCAAGAAATTCTCAACTTAAGGAAGCAGATAAATGATCTAATGGAGGAAAGACAGAGGTTAGTCACATCTTTTTATCCAATTTGATTTTGTTTCCTTGTGACTGCAATTTATGTAACCTCCAAAAATTAAACTTATAATTGATCCAATTGCCGTACGATTGATATTTTAACAGCAATAAAAAACAATCAATCAGCAAGCAATAAGCTAAAAATTAGTTCTGTAGACGAAATTGTAATAAAAAAAAAGTGGGAAAATTGTGGAAAAAGAGAGAGGATATTGTCCAAATCACAAATAAATTTCATTTCATTACGCAAAATGCTCACATTTGGTATATTTTATGACTACGAACTCATGTCACTATGTTCATAATTTCTTCTTTTAAACTTTGTTACTGTAGTTGCATATCCGAAATAAATAAAAAGGAAGGGGATATAGTGGCTGCCCAGATGACTCTGCAACAACTCCAAGACAGGGATCAGTTGCTTTCTGCACAGAACGAGATGTTGAAGGTGGATAAAACCAATCTAAAGAGGAGAGTGGCGGAACTGGATGAAATGGTAAAAACAATTCTTGGAACACCAACTATACACCAGCCAATTCAACATCCACATACATCCAAGCCCAAGGCATGTTTTCTGTTTGTTTCCACGTGAATTTGGGTTTTTCACCGCACTGGTAACTTTATTTTAACTTGTGTTTCTTGATCAATCAGAATAATAGCTCGTTGAAATTGCATGAAATTGATTTCACCAAGAGGCTGGAACACTCTGAGAAGCATCTTTCTCGAGTGAATGGTGAACTTGCTCAATACTTCAAATCTGCAGGTGGCGGTGGCGGCGGCGGCGTTGGCGGTCATCCACGTGACAAACGCGTGTCGCGTTAGAAACAGATTTATAAATTATAGGTGAGTGATTTTTTTTGTGAATGGATGGTGCATGAAAATATTGAACTCAAACATTCTTCATTTTGGTAATTCATAATACCGGCCCACAGGAAGCAGAAGATTTAAGTCTTGATTTAGTCAAATGCTTCTGCAAAATTCCTATTGTCTGGCATTATTTTGATGTCTATAAAGTACATAGTTTGGATGAGTCGTGGGTTCAACTCTTGTGTTTTTGTGTTGGTTGATATCAAAACAGAACATTCTTTTTTTTTTGTTGGTCGGGAAACAGAACATTCTTTAAAAATAATATTTGTGAATATAATTATCAGATAAATATTTTAAACAGTTGATTCTTTTTTGCAGATAATTACGATGAAGTGTCACGCAAGCCCTTTGTCAAATAGTTTTGTTGCTTTACACTCGTGTCACTCGTGTTTGTATATTTTGTTGCGCTATTTATCAGGTGTGAAAAAAAAATTTATGCAGACGGTCAAATAGTTTGATATTTTGATGTGGAAAAAACAAAACAAATATGAAGCTAGTGGTCAATTGATAAAAGAAACCCGAGGTAACTGTAAAATATAGCTCCACTGGTAACTAAACTTTTGTCAACTGTTGTCAAATTTTGAACATGAGCTGCCCCACTTTTTCATTACCCTATGAACTACGTCAGATAAAATTTAAACTACTGGTTAAGTCGAAGAAGAAAAAAGAGAGAATCTGAGCCATATACAATTCTGCCTTTTCCCCTTTTCTCCTCCCTTTCTGTTGTGTTCTTGACGAAGTAAAAATCACGGCGGACGTTTACTTACAGGCAAAAATATTATGGGTAGCTTTGCTTCCATAAAATTACTTGACATGGTGTGAAGTTGATCATTGACCTTCGGTGAGTGCAAGCAGAACCTCATCTAACACTCTTTCGTCGGAACTTTCAATTTGGTTTGATGCAGGGCTCTCCCCATCAGCCAACTGGTTGATAACACAACAGGCGTGAATGACCGAATAATAAACTACACAAATGCACATAAAAGCAAATGAAAGAACTTAGTCCTGAAAACCCGATTTTGTAGCAAGACCTGTTCCCCCACATTTTGACTTTTGAAGATTTATCTTACTTTAGAGCAACATGAAAGATACACATGCTAGTATGTGTTGAAGAAAAAACAGATGCAAATTTATTCTTTTGATAAATGCAAACAGAATGAAATATTACCTTAAGCTTTTCAAACTTTGAAAGTAGCCTCATATATTGTTCACGCGCTTCAGGCTGACGAGCCATGGACCTTACCCTTGAAAGAGCTTTCTCAACTCCAGCATATTTCTGCTTCCGCCCGACACTAAGAAATTCATAGTCATCGTTTTTCTTGACTGCGGAGGATACATCTTCAACAGCTTTTTCCACCCGAAATCCTCGCAAACCAGCTCCTTTTCGCCTCCAACGCAGTATTACTTTTTCCAATATACCAACAGACCACACAACCTTTTTGTAATTCTTCCGAACCTGATGTCCCCTTACATGAGCCTAAAAGTGATAAGCAGAATCAATACTTCAGATGAGGTACACCCCAAGTCTCAATTTAAAATGGTCACAGTTAAAAAAAAAAAAAAAATAGTAACAAAGTTATCGATAACATATGCAAGGAGGTACCTGAATTTTAACAATACGGTCACGTATCTTCAAAAAATCTTTTCTTCCCTTCCATCCACGATAGTTTTGTTGGATCTTCAGAGCTGCTGCAACATGGAGATAATCTTCGTAGTGAGCAAACTTTTGGACTCTCTTCAAGGAACGACGTGCAATTAGGTCATGAGACTGAACTTCAGAAACATCAGTTCCGCTCTTAGTTAACTGTCTCTGACGGAATGAACGAGTCCGGAAAGCTTCTTGAATTAGAGCAGCTGCATGAGCTGATTTCCTAACAGCTGCCATAGAGCTTTTGAAAGAGTATTGCTCATCTACTACCACATCAGTTGTGATAACTTCAGCAGTCTCAATGGCCTTCTCAGCTGCAATCGTTGCAGCAACATTGTTCACTATGTTCTCATTCATGGTCAACGTCTCTAGGTGACTGGTTAAATCTGCTTCGGCCAAATATCCAGCAATCCCTTTATGCCCTCTGCTCGAGGCTAGATCAGCAGCAGTTTGTCCACCATGAAATGCTGACGTTGGGTCCTCGACTGCACCTGGCGCGGCACCCAATCTAAGTAATGCGATGACAGTTTCCTCTCTAGAAATGGAGAATTTGAAGTTAAAACTAATCCCCAAATACAAAAATACAACCGACGATAATATTGAACATAAAAAGAGAAGAATCTATAAGAGGCAACTATACCTTCCAAAATATGATGCCCAGTGAAGCCCTGTTCTTCCGCGAGCATCTCTGAAATTGGGACTAATGCCAGAAGCAATTATTGGACCCATGGCCCACTCATAACCAAGAGCAGCAGTCAAATGTAGAACACCTTGGCCTTCATTATCCAGAACATGTGGTCCTTTGCCTCCTTCATGAAGTTTACAGACTAGCCATTCACAAAGTCTATCCTTTAACAAATTCTGAATCAAGACATCTCTATGGGTCAAGTGATCACTTTTGCATGCCACAGAAGCCCCATCAATTGTTTCCCAATCACTTTCTCTGTTGTTTCTCATTGAAAATATGGAACTTTTGAGCTTACATTTATCACAATCTAGAGCAGTACATTCCAACCACTTCCTCTCTGAGCCCAAGCTTGAGAGTTTTGCTAGACGTATCCGAAAGCGCAATTCATCATCTTTTGAAGTGTTTATAGCTATTCCAATGGGTTTCTCTCGATATTCAAACTCCCTCACCTCACTGCAGGCTAACCTATTTCTGCAGGTCACATAGAATGGAACGCACCCAGGAGCATGTAATGGAGTTTGACATCGAATGACATTATTAGACAGAACTTCAGCAGAAACTTCTATTTCACCAAACATGCATCCCCACTTAGTCTCAGTGGTATGCTTCTTGCTTCCCAGAAAACTACCAACTATTAAAACCTGAAAAGGGGGAGAGAGGAAAAAACTGAGGATCAACATATATTACAACAATAACAAATGTCCACGTATGTGTATATTTATTATTATAATAATAAAGTATGACAAAATACAAACTCTATTAGCTGTGTATACATACCTTTGTTTCAGTTTCTGAATAAGCCCAATCTGGCGAAAAATCATGAATAGAAAATAGTTGTTCTTGGGAAAGAGAGGGGCCAAGTGAATCTATATCCAAATGCATATGATGTGATAAACTGGATACTTCCTTATCCCCATTCTCTGCATCAAGTGGACTCCAGTAATTGCCAGAGTCAGAAGCCATCAAGGAATCATCACAATCCACACCAATTTCTTTATCCATCCATCTCCCAAAGCTGTCAAGTTTCTTAAGCTCTACTGATTCGGCATTGCGGACGCCACCATCTCTAGAGTTCTCTTCAACTTGGTTGGAAGAATTGACAACCACTTGAGGATCGGAATAATCTTGAACCTGAGGGTGAAATACATTAAAGTCATGCTCCTTTGACACCTGCAAGGAGGTTCAAGTACCAGTAAGTAGATTCACACCACAGGAAACCTAACTAAAAAGAACCAAGTAAATAAATTGCATTAGCAAAACAAACTAAAAGAAAAATAATTTTAAACAATCTGATACTTGGGTTTCAAAAACAACCTAAGAGAGAACATGCAGATTAGTATTAGAATTTCTCCATGACATATGACAACAAATGCTTATACATCACATCAATTACTACATGAAGAAAGAGGGAAAAGCCTGCATGACTGGACTTGTCATCAACTTCAAATACATCCCAAATTGCACAAAATAGCATTCTAAAATAAGTTACCTGATATGAAAATGATCTGTGGAATCAGGAAAAGATACTCCACCTACCCCAGAACATGAACTATCGTGGTAGGATTAAATAAACTTTCGTAACTTCATTTATTATAAGTTGAAGTTAAATAGGATATCCGAACTGAAATGTCAGTATGACTCTGGTCTCCTTTTTTCTTCAAAACATGAAAATTTACTGAAGGTTGTAATATCAGCTATCATTTTTTCTTTCAAAAACAAAAACAGGGCATGCAACAGAAAGAAAAATTCTGGATTACCAAAAAGAGTATTGAAATGAAAATTCACCTTGTCTTTATAACATTTACTAGAAAATAAAATAAAATTAGAAAGAGAAAATTGGAAAGAAAAAATGCATAGAAAAGTGGCTGTAGAAACAGACCTGCGCTTCTCTCTGAGAAGATGCTGTGGCAACCTGGACATCTATGTCAGTGGTCAACCTATCTTCACAAGTTACATTGTTGACTCTACAATCAACATCTAATCTAGCATCTGTTAGCTTATGAGTTATGAAGTCAGCTCTGTTAGGTGCTTCAACAAAAAGGTTTTGGTCATGCATGCTGCGCTCATTTCTTGTTGAGCTATCCATTCCATTCCAGACAGATGAACCAGCACCATGAGCAAATTTAGGTCCAGCATACCACGAACTAAGGGGATCCCTGAATGACTCAGGAAATCCTGAAAAGCACCAGAGAGACCTGGTCACATATTTTAATTTTTGATGACATTATTGCAAAAGACATCAATCACTGAAACAAATATGACTTTTGTATGTGTAAAAAGATACCATTACTCAATAAAGTCCATCTATATATTGGGAAAAGGAAAAACAACTAAAATGAGAAGGGAAAAACTGAGATGCCAAAACATAAAGAAGCAGAGTATGATAAAATGGATAGTGCAAGTTACTCTTAAAAAGCCAGAGACAGAGTAAAATGAGTTTGGACAACCAAACCAGAATTTGTGAAAATATTTTTACCAAAATTAGAAACTGAATGGAACGGCAGTAGGTCCAGAGGTACTGCGTAGAAGAAGAAGAAAAAAATATATTGGACTTAAAAGAAATGTTCAAAACTGTTTCAACGAATTAAACATAAACAAAACGGCATCTGTGGCTATGCATTTTACCTCCAACTTGAGAAAGAAGAGAAGCATTATGCAAAACGGAACCAAACATCGATTGGGCAACAGATGAAGTTCCTGCATCTCCCCCAGAATCCACATCCTCAAACTCTGTGGACAATGTTTTTCCATTCCAGTCAACTCTGTTTGGACTTGAAGCAAAAGATGTTTGAACTGTAGGGGCAGGTGAGTTTGCCTGTGCAGAGAAAGGTGCTGAAACACTTTGAGGGCTTGCAACCTGTGAACCTGGATCTGCCAGCAAACAAGGGACACCAGACTGGTACGCCTGCAAAGCATCACAGGACACCATAGAAAGTAAGCACACCATAGACGGTAAAGTTAAATCATTCCACCAAAGACAAAGGAAGGACAGAGAGTATCTGCAACACTAACAAAGAAAAACACAGTACCTCTCCCACATTTCTGTAATGGACAAGAACAATGTGCTGTAAATGCCTGAAAATCAAGAAAAGGAATGAGAAAAGTGAGACGAATAAGCAAACGAAGGAAAACAGAAGATACTAATTGCACAAAAAAAATGTTATTGCATTTGTTGAACATAACTGCAACCCAACCCGTCCTCTTCGAAGTGTGTACTGAGAACACAGAAATTTAAATCTCCTAATTTGCAGCTTCAAACAGACTTTGAGAAAACCATAATCTAGGCCTGGTACGCCTGCAAAGCATCACAGGACACCATAGAAAGTAAGCATACCATAGACGGTAAAGTTAAATCATTCCACCAAAGACGAAGGAAGGACAGAGAGTATCTGCAACACTAACAAAGAAAAACACAGTACCTCTCCCACATTTCTGTAATGGACAAGAACAATGTGCTGTAAATGCCTGAAAATCAAGAAAAGGAATGAGAAAAGTGAGACGAATAAGCAAACGAAGGAAAACAGAAGATACTAATTGCACAAAAAAAATGTTATTGCATTCGTTGAACATAACTGCAACCCAACCCGTCCTCTTCGAAGTGTGTACTGAGAACACAGAAATTTAAATCTCCTAATTTGCAGCTTCAAACAGACTTTGAGAAAACCATAATCTAGGCTATCAGAGATTTTCCACCCAAAGACCGAGCTTTGATTTTGCAGACTTTTTAAATTAAATGTTTAGTCCTCAAGACCAGAAAACTCACATGTCAAGCATCCAATAACTCCGCCGTTGAAAATTCGAATTGTCCTCCCCATGGGCATAGTAACAATGAAGAACGTCTACACTGCCAGCCTACAAAATGTCAAAACCCCAATAGAAAGCTAAATATTAAGCAGTACCAATATAGGCAAATATAATTGAAGTGACTTAATCATTACAGAAGAAATTTTCCAATGTACGAAAATGGAAAAGGTCAAATCATAGCTAGTGTTAACAAAGAGCTTAAACATAAAAGATTTGAGCACCAGAAAGACAAATTTAGTGATATTGAAGAAGATATAGGGAGAAGAAACAAAAGAATCTATTTTACATTACAAACCTACCAAAAAACAAATTAAATAAAAAAGAATGTTAAATTCAGTGCAACACCCAGCACTGGATTTCATAAAGTATGCGTGCAAATGTATATTCTATATACGTTCTCTTTACGTAAAAACTAAAGATGGTCAAGTAATCTGGAATTAATATATTAAAGGGACATTCAATGGTCTAAAGACTCGGAACTGTTGAAAAGCATTAAAATCATAGCATATGACCTTATATGCTCTGCTTACCTTGATCCTTTACATTGACAATCTAGAAAAAGACATCATAAAATTACAATAAGTTCAATTCAGTGCTTACCATCCTTGTACCCACAAAATGAACTATGAAAACTTACAGGCACCTATTGTGATCCATCACTTCTGCGGTATCTGTGTTCCCTGTCAAACTATGACCCCCTAAAGACAGATGATAGAGGTACAAAAGATAACAACCAGACAACAACTCAACTCCATCGCTTAGGACCAACCCCTAAAGGCGTACTTACTAATAATAGATTGAACAGCACACCTTCAACTTTTCATGGGCTTCTTTGACAGTCTTTCCATCCTTTTTCTTCCTCCAGCGGTGACCATCTTTACGAAAATACCGGAGTGCTTTTCGATCAAACAGGAACAAAGAACCAGCTGGAAAAATGAACATTTAGATTCCGTTTGCATGTACCAGGGAAGAATGTCAGTGATCCATCTCTGTCAAAAGGATAATAGTGTACTATTGATTTTTTAGCTGAAGTAACAAGTGCACGAGTAAACAAACATCTTTTCGGATGATTCTGGGGATAGAATGGGAAAGGATAAACAAATAATTAAGTGATACAATTTAATAAATGACATGTGTAGTGTATATATACCTACAGTATATGCAAATGAGAACAGAACATAACAGTCCAACTGTTCCACATCTTAACCCATATCAAATAATAATAATTAAACAAATCAATATCCTTTTCATATCAAATATACCACATGTCAAATCATTAAAATTAACCATAGCAATTAGTGAGTACTTTGAACATAATTGTGAATTTCTTGCAGAGAGTTTTGTAACACCTAGACCTCAAGAGAAAATAATGGACATGGGGAAACCCCAGGGGAAAACAAAGAAAGAAAAGTTTCATGCACCAAAAAATAGTTGTTATGGCAATTTCTGTCCCTCATATTCTACAAGTAAATGAAGCTCACCTCCCAAAAATTAATAAACAGACTTCCTACTGAATTAGAAAAATAATTCAATTTAAAGAAAAAGTATAACAGCAAAAGTAAAGGAAGATGGAATTAACAAATTCCGACAGAACACACAGTGATCAAGCACATATAATCCAAATGTAGTAATTCAGAAAAATATGCCAAGTACAACCTGGAGGCCTGACGGGCGGATCTGCGGTTAACTCAAAATTCTGATAGTTGCGAAGTATTTCACAAATTTCAGCTGGCCGAAGCCAACGCTCCTTGGCTTCTTGCAATATCTGGGCAAGGTCTGCCAAATTCCCAAAAGTACCAAAAGGTTTAAAGATCTTGAAACTAAAATACACAAAACGAGTACGGGGAAGAATAAAAGTCGGAGCAAATACGTAGACACTTTCAGTATCACAATTTGGTGAAGAAAACAGTAGACGCACCTCAATGCACTTACAACAATATGGGCCCTAGATTACTTCAGTGTTCAAAATAACATTCCTTTCTAGGATTATTAACTCAGTTAATGCATACAAACTAATTCTTGCATCAAGCGGAAACCACCAGCGATAACAAAAGGGAAGTGAGAGTAATACACGCATGCATGAAGTGTGAGTCAAATGATCACACAAAATTATTATTTCCATGAAAAAAATCATACCATTCTTGACAAGAAGACTATTACCGAGAGAGAAAACAAAACGAAAATTGAAGAATCCGATTTGAAATCCGAGAAATATAAAATAAATAAAAAACGCTTTTGATATGGAAAAGAAAATATATATACAACATACATATATGTGGAATGAGAAGAGGGAGACAAAGCTGACCTAGTTGCTGAGTGGGGAGGTATTTTCTGGTATCAGCCATGGGCGACCAATGACGACCTCACATAAACCCTAGATTTCATGAGCGAGGGACTGTGATTACCACCAATCCACAGAACAAAACGCAAAAAGCAAAATCCAAGTCCAGGAATTACAAAGATCATCAACAAAATATTCACTCTGTTCATAAATAAAACGACCATAAAATCGAAAACAATAACCAAAAAGAAATGAGAAATGCTTTCAGGCAATCAGTCTCCACAGAGAAAGAGCGAGAGAGCTGGGGAAGGAGGTTTCGGTTGAAGAAACGTACCTTTTAGAGAGAGAGAGATGGATAGAGAGAGAGCGAGGGAGGGAGGGAGGGAGGGAGGGGGTGAGAGGGAAAGAGAAGCGTGTGAAAAGCACTAAAAAGTAAATAAATAAATAATAAAAAAGAATTGATTGAGAGGGATTGAAGTCAATATGCAAATGCTTTGTGTTTACACTGATTCAGCGAACGGATTCTATTTTATAATCCGACGTGGTATGTCGTCTTCCTTTATGCCAGCTAAGCTTGCATCGAGGGAGGGAGGGGGTGAGAGGGAAAGAGAAGCGTGTGAAAAGCACTAAAAAGTAAATAAATAAATAATAAAAAAGAATTGATTGAGAGGGATTGAAGTCAATATGCAAATGCTTTGTGTTTACACTGATTCAGCGAACGGATTCTATTTTATAATCCGACGTGGTATGTCGTCTTCCTTTATGCCAGCTAAGCTTGCATCGCGTCCTATTTATTTTCATTTTTAATTGTAGCCGAGATTCCTGTTAATTTATTTAATTTTATTTAAGCAGATAAAATTAAAAATCGAATATGCTTTATTTATGGTAACTTTATTTTTCTGGTTTTTTGAGTCTGTGCTCATTGTGATTTTGTTTTTCTGGGTTTTTGAGGAAAATTGAGGAAGTTAGCATGAAGATAAGATGCAGTCTTGTCATTTCGTCTCATCTAATTAATTGTATCATCTAATTAATTGTCTCATCTAATTAATTGTATCACAAACAATGACTTGATAGTAATTTGATTTGCTTATCAATCACCACTGTTCAAAATCAATTTCGAGATTTTTATTTATTTTTATAAAGTGGAGGGGTTTCAAACTTGTACATATTCTAATTTCGAAAAATATGTAATTAGACTAACTAATAGCTAGTTGATAAATTAATCCGAGATTGATCACCTTCATCCGTACTCAAGCAAACCATGAAAAAGAAAAAAAATCTAAGAATTCATATAATATAGACTTATGAAAAAAGAAAAAAGTCACTTTCTGAGACCTTTGATCTGCAAGTCAATGACCTTTTCCGTTAGAATAGACCACATTGGCTCTTTATTTAGCATTAGCTAGATGGGTTTGTCATGTCATAATTATATTTGAAAAAAAGTCATGACCAAGTTCTTCTTTAGGCGGGGTCCCTTCCTCGTTAATTTGAATTTCTTCAGACGGGTTATTAAATGCTCTTACTTGTAGGTTACAAACCAGCAAGTCTTAAATCACCACAAAAAAATAAAAACCAAAAAACAAGTCACTGTCGTCAATTCCGTCCGAAATTTCAACTGCTAGTGAAGATAAGAATATTGCCTTAATCTTCCACAGGATAAAAGGAGAGCAAAAAGAAGTCACTTAAGGGCAATGTATTGATCATATAACAAGCCGATGAGTGCTATAAATTCCACCAGCCACCGACTGCAAGTTGCAGAAATTATAGAATAGGGCGGCCATGGATGCCTGTCCTGCTAAGTTGGTTTTTCTCACTTTTGCGAACCGGTAAGTCATTTCGAGTAAGAAAGATTCCAACCAACGAATTTACCATCATACTAGCTGGAAGAGTATTTCTGCTCATGATTGGTAGTAGAGGAGAGGAGTTGGATTAGAAAACTTAGCAGCAAAACATAGTTTGGATATAATTTTTTGGACAGACGCATAGCTTTGCTCAATTTATCCATAGACTAAAACCCCAGTCTGTGTAGTTTGAGGTTGGCCAGTATCAAAATCATGTTGAAACTCAATACTTCACCATTACATTGTTATCAGTTCCAATACAATAACTTCAAAATATCAACAAATGAATTGCAGATCCCATGCCAATTAGATGTTCAGCTTATGGTTCAACATTACATACTAAAAGAAGCTATAATTATCAGTTTCAACTTTCAACACATGCAACAATGCAGGTAAAGGGAAACAGACTCTGCAAGAGGTTGAAGATTCTCATTTTCCTCAATCAACAGATGTTTCACGCTTAAGGCCTGGCTTTAAAGAATTATCCTGACCAACAGAAAGGAAATAAAATGTAATCAAATTGTAGTAAACATATACGCCTCACACCTATCTTAAAGAACTAAACTTCTCACATGCTTGGGTGTATAAGAAACTAATGCATAGATTCCCAAAAGCTGGTCTGGAAAGCCATGTGTTTTATGTTTAGTAATAAGCAACTGAAAAGCATATTCTAAAATGCTAGGATAGGAAATTTGTTTCTACCAACCTTTGCACAAACGTAAATATAATGCACATCAGGGTTATTTCCGAGCAATTCCTCCGCTGAGCTTCCATTGTCATTCAAAGGAACAGGATTTGTCAGCTCCCATATTGGAGGTTCTGATTTATCTTCGCAGGCAAGTTTCTCTGCATACATGGTGACAGACAGAAAATCAACAGCTATATATAATATACAGACCAATGCCACATAAAAAATATCATTGCCAAACATAATAAAATGAAAAGTAAGTATGACTTAATCAACCTATCACATGGAGTTTTATTGTCCACGAGCATGACTCTCTTAACAAATGCAAACGATACAATGGAGCTCCATATGTGATCTGCAGCAGCGCGTTTGAGACTAGTTATGGCCACATGCCAAATGTGAAATGCAAAACCAAAAACCAAAAAAAAAATAAGAAAAAGGGGGTGGGAAAATGTGTATTGAAATCATAGGCAGAGAACAAGAATAAGCAACATTACCAGAATATAGACTCCTTTATCCTTGAGGACCCTATAGTTTGTTATTAACTGCTTCAATATATGGTGAACAAATCAAGAAAATAAACAAAATCAAAAGCTTCGGGTAAATACATTTCGTTTTGGGGACGAATTTGAGCGAGATGGATGCAATCAGCCAATTACAAGAGAAAGTGAATACAATCGCGACAATCGCGTTCACTACCATCGGAACACTGCAGAGGGATGCTCCGCCTGTCCGAATCTCTCCGAATTACCCAGAATCCGGATCTGGGCCGGCTCCGGCTCCGAATCCGAACCCGACAGCGGACAGTGACGCGGATTTCGCGAAGCAACCCAAGCTGATGAGTGCTGAGCTAGTGAAGGCAGCTAAGCAGGTCTTCAATCACTCGATGACGTGGCAGCTAATTTCTTTTTTTATGAATTAATATTTTAATTTGAATAATTTCGTGGTTTACGTACACTTTACTTTGTGTAGTTTGATGCATTGGTGGCGGCACTTCCGTTGTCTGAGGGGGGAGAGGAAGCTCAGCTGAAGAGGATTGCACAGCTTGAGGCTGAAAATGATGCTGTGGGCCAACAACTTGAGAAGCAACTCGAAGCTGCAGGTGATGAGTCTTTTCATTTGGTCACATTTCACAGAATTTTCAATTTTCTTCAATTTTATATGATATTATTGATATAGTTGATTGTTTTTAGGGTCTACAAAATTGTCTTTTAGAACTTGAACCTTAGGTTTATAGTCTCGGATTGGTTAATCGCTTCGGTTTTAGGTTTTAGGTCTTAGAACCTAAAATTGAAACTCGAAGATTCTATACCCTAAAATAATCAATCATGTCGACAGAATGTCGAATTTCGGAAAAGGTATATATGAGGATGTAAAACCAGTGTTAGATAGATATTTGAATCACTATGTCAATGTGTTTTTGATGGTGGCAGAGAGAGAATTGCAAGAGGTCAGAGAGTTGTTTGGACAAGCAGCAGATCACTGTTTGAACTTGAAGAAACCAGAATGAAGAGCCTAGTCTAGTGCAAGCAGTAGTTGTTGACATGTTTCTTAATGGTGTAAGTTTCATTAGGAAGATGTAATTTTGACTGGAACAAGGGCCAGAATTTCAAATTTAAGTGACAGTATTTTTAGAAACCACCTTTTATTTGTGGGCAAATGCTTTGATTCTCAAGAGGATAAAGCTCAACCACCTTCTTCTTGTAATGAGCCTTATGGCTAAAGTTAAGGTTTCTTTCTGTATGTAACAATGAAATCAAATGACCATCCGGCACCTAGTGCAAGCAGTAGTTGTTGACATGTTTCTTAATGGTGTAAGTTTCATTAGGAAGATATAATTTTGACTGGAAGTTAAGGTTTTATCTGTGGGCAAATGCTTTGATTATCAGGAGGATAAAGCTCAACTACCTTCTTCTTGTAATGAGCCTTATGGCTAAAGTTAAGGTTTCTTTCTGTATGTAACAATGAAATCAAATGACCATCCGGCAATGAGTTTCGACTGATTGAGTTGAAAATTAGGATCCTATTCAATGGGAGCCTTTGCACTGATGTCAAAGGGAAAAGTTTTGAATGATTTGTTGTGAGACTCTGGAAATATTGGCTGGATTATATGGAGTTCCCATCTGCCTCCATTTTCAGCAAAACCCTCCCTATTTGCACGAAAATCGCATGGATAACCCTTATCCACCTACAACACGCAAACATGCAAACATGCATATATTATTTAGGGCTCGTTTAGAAATGCTTTACAATAAGCAGTACCACACCCCACCCACTATTGGGACTCTATATGCTTATTAAAAAAATTTAAATAAACTTCAGTATCGCCGCACGGCTATACCATTTGATTAAAATAGTATTTTATATGTAGAGAGGTGCATTCATCCGTTAAAGACATGTAGAGAAACATTTTGTATTTGATACGGCACATAGGATTTTAGGACATGACATACTTTTGCTTATGCAACACTTTTCAAATAGGACTTTACATGAAGAATACTACTCTCTTACTACTATTCCTATAAATCTTTGTTTAAAATTGAAAATTTTGTAAAGAAAACACCTGTATTAGGCATGAAACATACGTACATACGTTTGCTTTTTATTAAACGTGTATTTTCTTAAGTACTCGTATTGACAAACAAATTGAAGGAAAAAATAATAATACAGAACCCAGTATAGCTGATCCAGGGATATACTCCATTGATCCCATAAGTCAATTTCCCCAGATAATAGACCAGAGCAATGATATATGAACTGGGTTGCAAAGGCCACCAACTCCATTTTTATATACAGACATAACAAAAGCACTCTTTCAACAAATACTAGTTTTGCTGACGAACTTTCATGCAACAGTCTTCAACGACCCATTGTTGGTTAGAATCCTAAAAGGCGTGCCGAGTTTGAAGTACAAATTCCCTTCACCCAATAATCATATGCAAGAGACTGAAGTATCGCCGCGGGGCTATACTATTTAATTATATTATATTTAAAGAGTATACCCACGCGGCTATACTTCTAATTTAAAAAATTTAAATAAACTTCAGTTTAGCCGCGCAGATATACTATTTAACTATAATAGTATTTTATACGTAGAAAGATGCATTCATCTGTTAAAGACATGTAGAGAAGCATTTTGTATTTATTACGGAACATGATTACAATAACTATGCAAAGGGCTCCATTTAGGTTCAAAAGAAAGAGCTGATCCAGGGATATACTCCATTGATCCCATAAGTCAATTTCCCAGATAATAGACCAGAGCAATGATATATGAACTGGGTTGCAAAGGCCACCAACTCCATTTTTATATACAGACATAACAAAAGCACTCTTTCAACAAAGACTAGTTTTGCTGACGAACTTTCATGCAACAGTCTTCAAAGACCCATTGTTGGTTAGAATCCTAAAAGGCGTGCCGAGTTTGAAGTACAAATTCCCTTCACCCAATAATCATATGCAAGAGCAACTCATACACCTCTTTCACTTGAAATGAACTTGATCAAACAAAACAATTTCTTGTTTGCTAAATGTTAGTCCCAAAACGCACTAATTATCATGCTAGCAGTCATTTTTCAAATCCAATGTGTATCTCATAATGCAATCATACCTGAGCAACTATGTCATTGCCTATGTAGATGGTGCAAGATACTTGGTAAGGGAAGCCTTTCACTTTGAAATCACAGGTTGAATCTGCTGAATTCTCACGAACAAGAAAAACCTCCAACTCAGCTCTGGTGTTCTTTTCGTCCTCTTCACTCTGAACACCAAGTCCTTCTCCCCAGCATCACCACCCTTATATCCTTCCCAACATCCCTTCTTTAAAAAATAAAAATAAAAATAGTACCCCAAAAGGGCAACAACAAAAAAATAAAAAATAAAAAATTCAAGGAAAATATTCTCGGGAATCAAAGTCATCACCATCATCATCACCATCATACATATCATCTTCTAATAGTCAGTTTTAGCCAGAAACTAAGGCGGAAACTTAACAAATATAGTACAAAGATACTTACAAGAGAAATGGGTTTGAAGAATCTTCAGTATCTATATCCATTTCCTCCTTCTCAGCATACAAGTCAAATGCATACCCATCTTCGGATGCTACGCAACACAAAAGAGGAACCCATCAAACAGTACTTGAGAAAATGATGAATTACCTGTCGCTACTAGTATTAATTAAAAGGCTGAAATTAATATATACATCTCCAGAAGAAGCAACTGCAAGTGCAGACCAAGGACAATATGCTATTAAGAATCCTAATCTTCTACCTTTGCTCCAACTAATGTCAAGATTAACGGGTGATAGCACCCAAGGCCACTAATCATTCATTTACATGTAAAAAAACAACCTTGTTTGGAGCTGTTAGCAGATAAATCTGATTCAATCTCCGAAGCAGCACTTGGAATGAACTCTCTCAGTAGAGGTAAGTAACTATTCAACATCCTCTGGTCCTCCAAAGATATCTCACTGCATTAAAATCATAGGGAGTATCATTTTCAACTAGACTCTAGGAAATACAAAAGGGCAAGAGCTCATGAGTTGAGAACTAACTCCTCCTGTCACAACTCATTAGATCTTTCCTCGACATCAACACGAATAACATCATAGAAATGACACATTTCATGTAATTTCTTATGTGATGTTTCCTTTGTCTCCCTTTCTGCTCCTCCATATTTGTTCAAAACGTGCATTTTTTGCGACAACCTAACAGAAAGAACTCAAAATAAGATAGTACCCAGAGCAAATTTCACCGAATACATATTAAAATACTCAGTTTAACAAAAGAGGACCATTTTTATATTATCATCAAACATATAGCAGTCTGCTTTAAATAATAAAACAACCCAAAAAAGAAAACATTTGCCCACTCTGATAAATTTATTTTGAGATTACCTCTAATGTCCACCAATCTGGCATCAAGTGATCTGTCAAAACTTGTTTCCTATACTTAAATGGTATCAATGGGTAGCATGTGGTTCTTATTTCTTATTCTCAATGTATAAGGTTAGTAGTAGAACAACTGCCTCAGAATATCAATCTAAACTCTGAACCTCTTAACAATCAATCACAAAGTTGGGCAATCTGACATAATAGAAAGATATCTAACTAGATGCATGTAAGGGAGATTTGAATTTATCCTAAATAATGGTTTAGAAATAGACAAAATTTAGAGTACTCCATGGTTGTTAGAAGATGAATCAATAAAAAAAATTCATGGGAACTAGCATAGAATTTGGAGTTGCATAATCTCAATTTGACACAAATTCTTAGCAACTCACTGCCTGACAATGATTATTATCACAAGCAAAATATTGAACTAAGAACAAATGGATGATAAGCAAAACAGAAAGAAGGCAGAGCATGAAAAAGTTTAATGCATCATTATTCTCTAAGAGATGAAATAACAAATCATACTATTGGAAGCACAGGAACAAGAGATAACAACACTTTACTTGGTGGGTGATGAGCACAAAATTAATACAAGTTTTATCCTTAAATTTATATTTGTTAGTATTTTCTTTTGTATTATGTAAATCTATTAGAGTATTTATATTGTTTTCTTTCCAATCTTGTTTTATATTTAATGAGTGGTTATTTGTAGATATTAAGTGTTTTCCACCAATGCCAAATGAAAAGAAGAAGCAATCAATTTCATCTATGCTCTAGGACATGCATGCAAGCTTCCATCATTGAAAAAATAAAGAAAGAATGAATAAACAATGAAGGAGAAGTTCAAATTGACTACTTGCAACCAATGAATGCAAAGAAGAATGATGATGCTTGAGTTGTTATCTAGCTACAATTTGAACTAAGTTGCTGCAGTTTTTTTATAAGATACGAGAGATGAGATGGAGCAAGTGGAGCAAGTGGAGCAATTGATAAGAAGACTCAAAGATCTTTGTGAAAACCAAAGTCAAGGAACTAGGCCAAGATTAAGGAATATATTTGAAAATGATGGGTACTTATTTGAAATGATAAAAGCTTGGAGTGAAGAAGCAAGTGGAGAGTGGTGTGGAGAAATTCAAGAGTGATACCCGACAATGAGAAGAAGGAAAGTATGGAAATGCATGACAAAGTGTTCAAGTGGAAGAAAGTTTTGAAGAATTTAGATAAGGAGTCATCATCACAATGAATTAATTAAAGGAAGCAACTTGGCAATTGGTTTGATGGCAAGTGGAAGACATATTAAATTCATGAATATTGCTCCCATCCTCCTATAAATAGATGGAGCTACGGCATTGTAAAACTACACCAAGCTCCACAATCTTGAGCTTTTTCTCTTTTCCCTCCATATTTCTAAGTCTTAAATTCTGTTTTTAGTTTTATTTTATTATGGGGAACTAACTCCCTAGCTAGGGCTAGGGAGGAAACTTTTAATATAAGTGTGTAATTTTTATTAGTTTGATCCAAACTTAAGCTTTAATGTGAATTTGTAGTTTTTGTTCAAATGGAATTTGTAGTTTTCTTTTTAATTAATTGATGAATGTTTGATAATCTATTTCATGGGTTCAATCATGTTTTTCCCATAGTGTAGTAAAAACTTTCATGCTTTTAAAAGAGAAGAGAATTACTAAAGATTAATAGAATTTTGATGAAGATTATTTTTTGATAGTTTGTTGCCAATGGTACAAGTTATGCTTAGAATACTTCTAAAGGAAATTAAAAAGAGCTTTAATTATTTTGAACAACTACAATGGAAAATATTTTGTGGATCAAATTATTAAGAGTTGCATGTTTATGTTAAAAGTGGAAACCTAATACCTTAGTTA